ATAAATATTTAGTTGGCAGTATTCAACTAAATATTTATTAAAATTGACTATATTTTTTTTCAGTTAATGCATTAAAAAATCTATTGAATGTTGACCAAATGAAAAAGTTGGGTTGTGGATATAAAAGAATGCCAAAATGGAGTGATTCTACTTTAGTTAAAGCTTATCAATTAAAGTTTGCATACGGGTTATCTGGCTACAAAGAACTACTAAAGCATGGTTTTCTTCTTCCTTCATTGCGAACCCTCAATCAAAAACTCGAAAATTTAACATTTCAGAGCGGAATTTTGCATGAAGTTTTCGATTTTTTAAACATTAAAGTTTCGCAATTGAAAAACGATAGAGATAGGGATTGTTTACTTGTGCTTGACGAAATAAGTATATCAGCAGGTACTGTTTTGGACATATCCATTAATACATATGTAGGGCACGTAACTTTACCCAGACATAATAATAACGACATTGCGACGCATGCCTTAGTTTTCATGCTAGCAAGCATAGGGCACAGGTGGAAACAAACTTGGCATATTATTTTACAGCTAAAACAAACGGTTCCGTGTATAAAGATATAATTCTGGAAATTATTCAGGAAGCAGAAAAAATAGGATTGCATGTTCATGGGATTGTTTCTGATATGGGTTCAGCCAATCAAGGCATGTGGAGAGAATTTAACATCAATGTCTCACGTCATTTTGAAAAAAAATAAATGTGTACATCCGAATGATGAAACTCGGAATCTATTTTTTTTTCACGATAGCTCACACGCGCTAAAAAACTTTAAGGAAGGAATGCTTAATCATAAGTACATAACGATTCCTAAATATTATGTAGAAAATATAATTTACCAACGAATACAGCACTGCCAGCATATTTCACTGAATTATCAGACCGTGAAAAAAACGCTTCATTACATTTGGCACCGAAATTGTTACCAAAATACCTCGACAGATCGAAACATTTTCTAAAAATGAGGGTTAAAAGTTCCTGTCACGTTCTGAGTCACGCAGTTTATACTTCCTTACAATTTTTGGCAACTGAGGAATCGAAACCTGAATATCTGACAACTTCGTGGCTGGTGAAACAAATTTGTAAATGGTTTGATATTGTTAGTACACGGAATAGTATACTTGCTCTTAGTCGACACAATTTGGATAAATATAATGAAACTATCAATTTTCTAAGGGAATTTATAAATTTAATCAGACAACTCAGTTTCGGTTACAGGCTATTGGAAGCCATTTCAAAAAGGAATGATTTTAACTACTCAATCATTAATAGATGTGACTGAATACTTATTAACGGAAAAACATTACGATTAAGTACTAGGTGGCAGATTTACGCAGAACTGCGTTGAAAATCTCTTTTCCGTTCTGCGTAGTAAACATTGTGTTCTAAATGCTCTCCAATTTAAAAATAACTTAAAGTTAACAACAAATATCTCAGTATATGAGAAACGTATCTACTAGTAATTACAACTGCGATGATCGTGAGTTTTTATCCGATTTTTTAACAACCATCAAACGATTAAAAAAAAATGTATCGGACAAAATCGATGATGAATCAGTTGAGGAGTACGTTATACAGACAAAAGATACCATGAACAAAGAACAATTGAATATTTTACACCATCTTGTTGGATATATTCTTACCAGTATTATGAAAATGCAGAAAACTTGCAATCGCTGTTTCTTATGTGTTGGAAATAAAAAATCTTATTTTGCTCACTATAACAGATTAACGGCGTTACGGTGTTACAATAAAGAAACTTTATTTTTTGTAAATGAGTCAACGTTTGAATTTTTTAGACAAATGGAAGAAATGTTTAAAGCTTATGAAAAAACGGATTTATTTAGACGCAACATTGATTTGAAAAAGTATTTAACTGAAAAATTTGAAGCTTTGCCTTACACAATACCAGATTGCCATAATTTAAAACGAAAAATCATGAGTCGATTTGTTATTTTTAAATTGAAAATAACGCGAAAGAAAATTACCCAAAAAAAGCAGAAAGAATTTAGTAGCAAAACAATGGCCATGCATTATAATGTCAATTAATAGGTACATTGCAAAAATTCCATACATCGTAAGGTGTTATTGACTGATAGTTAAGATATGTATTGTTCTATTTTATGCATTACTCTATTGTTTATCACTTTTTATACATTAATCTTCTGCTCACATTATTAAATGTATTTATTTCTTGTATTTGAAACTGACTGATAGTTAAGATATGTATTGTTCTATTTTATGCATTACTCTATTGTTTATCACTTTTTATACATTAATTTTCTGCTCACGTTATTAAATGTATTTATTTCTTGTATTTGAAACTGACTGATAGTTAAGATATGTATTGTTTTATTTTATGCATTACATTGTTCATGTATTTCATACATTAATCTTCTATTCACGTTATTTCATGCATTTATTTCTTATATTTCAAATATTTACATTTTGATATTGTACGACAAAGAATGAAAATTTTTTTATATTTTATGTTTGAGAATAAAATGTTTTTGTAAGTTAAGTGATATGTATGTGTTTTTTTATAACTTGCTATGTTATTTACATTAACTGGCAATTTTTTGTCTTATTCTTTCAAAAGAGAAACTTGACCATGCATACACCACCAGGATTGCTATTTCCTTGGGAACATATTACCAAATATAAAAAATAACCATTATATTACAAACAGAAATTTTAAATTTCAATTAATTTTGTTATTTATATACATCATGTTATTCAATTATTTTTTAAAACTGTACACACGGACATATAAATGCCTACCCATCTAGTATCGGAACATATTGAAGATACGTGTTTTTGATGGGTAGGCATTTATGTCCCCGTGAGTACAACTGAATTATATTTGTATATTGTAGACACTCCTGTAGAAGTACATTTTATTATAAAATAAAATATTAAAGTATATCGAATATCAAAAATTGTAAACTACTTCATAGACTATGTTTCGATGCTTACCGTATTAATCTATTATTTCAATATTATATATTTTCATTAAATTTTGCTAGAATGTATCATTATGTGTATATATTATATATATATAATAATATATATATTGTTACGTCCGTCCGTGCGTCTAGTATGTTTACATATGTCTAGTATGTTACGTCCGTTTCACGAGATCCGCACTTCCGATTCGCCGAAATGACTCACTCGTGAGTACAAAAGTAAACGGATGTTTATTCACAATCACAGGACTACAGCGTGATACAGTTAATCGTAATAACCAGATAAATATCTCGCGTAGAGAGAAACGCGTCCGTTCGTGACGGAGACTCTCTTCCGAGTTGTTTAACAACAACTCCGCGCTCGTCGCCAAGTAACGCGCTCTTCGTTCTTCAGGAACGTGCAACGGGCGACGACTCTTCTCAGGCGTAACGGGCGACACGATTCGGGCATAACAATATATATAGATACATACAAGGTGATCCAAAAGTATGGAAACGGCCAAATAACTGTGGAGGAATGCACTTTGGAGAAAAAAGTTTCAGACAAAAGTCTTAGGTTTTTTTCCTAGCTATTCAATCGTGACCTGAGATTTGACCTTGACCGTGACCTTGAATGTCATTTCAAGGTCAAATTTACTTTTTTAAATAGGAACACATTTTTTTGAACACAGGAATGGAAACAGCGAAAAATTTTACGTCCAGCTGTGACTTTGATCATGACCTTGACCATGCCCTTGAAGGTCAGTTCAAGGTCAAGTTGACATTGTCAATGGAAATTCCTGTAAATTTTCCTGTAAATTGGTATCTAGGGGTTTTCGGGGTCGCTGATTACGATTTTGAAGTCGATTTTCAAAAATTCAAGATGGTGGATCCAATATGGCTGAAATTTGATAAAACTATTGAATTTTCCTGCAAATTGGTATCTGGGGGTTTTCGTGGTCGCTGATTACGAATGTAAAGTGAGAATTTCAAAATTCAGAATGGCGGATCCAATACGGCGGACATAAAAATTAAGAAATGAGTGAATTTTAATAAAAAATTATATTCAAGGGTTTTTTAGTCCCTGACTTCCCATTTTCATATTTATCAGTTTTATTAGTAAATATCAAGTTGAGTTCTTAATTAACGGCAAAAAAGTGAGAAAAGAGACACTTTATTTTTGTCAGGACTGTGATGTGGGATTATGCGTAGTTCCATGCTTCGAAATCTACACTAAAGATGTTTAACATTTAAAAAGTAGGAATGTTTCTCTGTTCATTTTCATGTTTCATGTTCATTTCTTTTAAATTATAAAAAATAAAAAGAAAACCAAAAAAAACCACAAAGAAATTTTAAAAACAAAAAAAAACAATAAAATAAAAGAACTAAAAAAAATGGGACGTAAATCGTATTTAGGAGCCTCCCCGTGGCACATCCTGGGTGTACCTTATTTTTTCAGGTATAGCAGACCCTAGCCGGGTAGGGGAGACGGATAGTCGCGGCTCTTCTCGTTTGCGAGAATCCGGTGACACACGTCGGCCAGCAGGGGTCTGCATTCCTCACAGCTTAAAAACCCGGATGCAGGGACACGGGTAGGGGAGGTGGTTCGCCGCGGCTATTTCCGTAATGGGAATCCGATGGCACACACCGGCCAGCAGGGGTCTGCATTCCCCCCAGCTTAAAAACTCGGATGCAGGAACACGGGTAGGG